CGACATCAAATAAAATCATAGATTGATGATTGATTCTAGAAATCAATGTTTCTAGGTTAAATTACCACGATCATCCCGAAGTTTGTTTTAAAATGCACCATAAGACTATAATAATCTGATTATCATCATAAAAGAGAGTGAATAAAAATTTTATTTTCACTTGCATCACTGTCAGGACTGATTTAAATATTCAGGCAATCAGGTCATTTCGTCTGATTGCAATCAGGTCATTTCGTCTGATTGAGTTTCTCATGAATGCTGGAGGTCTTTTAGTGTGATGAACATGTCATTTTTCCGTCAAGCTCAAAACCACAGAAAACAACTGACAGGTTCAGGGTCTCAGTTCAGTTTGAATGTGAAGATTAAACAGACTTTTTCAGGAAACCCACAGTGAGACCACATGAAACTGAACAGAAACAGACTGAAGTGGAACATGTGTGCAGATCTGCTGATGAGAACGACAAAGAAATGGTCATTTTTTCTCAAAAGACAATAAAACCAAACCCAAATGCACAAAGGGGACAGCCTTTCTCTCTATTTGCATCAGTGTTAATGTTGTATTTGTCTTTCAACACATAAGTCACTGCCATTTATTCATTCCTGCGCTTAAGATCTTGTGTTTCTTTTGAGAGATTTAATGTATTTTTATATATTATTTTTATATTTTATAATGTCAGTACTTTTTTGGCACCAGCTCCTCATCTGCCATGCTGCTAGCTCATGTTGATTTTTTTCCCCCTAATACTTCACCACACATGAAAGACACAATACACATGGTATAATTTGTCCAATCAGCACAGCCATCTAGTAAGCAGTCATTGTTGTAGTTTTGATAATATCATGAAGACATAAAATATCACAATCTCTACGATTCACTTGAAAAGTAGACTGTGGACGTCTTCAAGATCAATCACAATATAAATTCGTCAGATCACCCAGCCAAATGGACACTATTTAATAAAGTCTTGAAGTTGATCGAGATGTTTCTAAATATGAGAGTGGATCAGCCTTTGTTACTCAACATTTCCTGATGTATTAATTATGTCAATTGTAAGTGGCATATTTTGTAGGCTACTTTATATTGTGTTTATGGCATATTCATCAAGTTTTGTTGATTTAACCTATTTAAAATAGAGATGCACCGACATGAAAAGTCTGGACAGAAACTGAAAATTCTAGATGCACTTGGCCGAAAACCGAAACTGAAAATGTTATATATATAATAATATATATTATTAAATAATATAAAATAATTTTGTAAAACTTTTTTAATTTGACTCAATAATTTAATTATACTAAATAAAAAAAAATACAGTGCAATAAAGTAACCGCACTTTTATTGAAAGTAAAACAAAAAATTGGACAGAAAATATATTAATATTAAATATAAATATATTATTTTTATTCAGTTCTATGCAACAGAATCAGATTTAACAGATTTTTTTGTTTGTTTGTTTGTTTAATTATACAAATAGTCCTACAAAGCTATTATTATCAGAGCATAACGTCACGAGAGGGTAGCGTCATTTTACCAGCGTTGCCCAGTATAGCTGCACTGAAAATTTGTGTAATTTTCTTTATTTTTTTTCCTCCTTTCTTAATTTTCTCTCTCCCTCTGGCAGCTAATGTTAATATGAGAATGTATATATGTAATGGCTTTTGTTCATTGTATCTCATGTTCTCCTCATGTACATTATATTGTCGCCCTCTAGTGGAAGATTTAAATGATGCAGATCAATTCACTTGAGGGTCATTTGTCCTTATTATAGAGAACATAAAACCTGTTTGAGCTCTCAGTATCAGACACTGTAACTGCACTAGGTGGCGCTCTTTCAGTGTGATTAATGTGATGTTCAGTCAGTGGTGATGGTGGGAGGAGCCAGTAAAGCTGCGGAAGTAAGTGCGCAAGACTGTCCCAGGTCTTAAAACGCCAGAGCGCAGTGCCCTTAAAGCACACTAAATCCACACTATCTCGAATACCGCTCCGGAGCGCTATTCGAGGCTTAGTGTATCCCATCATGCATCATGTTCTGAAAATAAATCGTGAGACTTTTTGCCGAGATCTCGTGAGAGGTCATGGAAACCTTTCCAATGCAAGTTAAATATTAATATAATAATAAGCTATTACATGTAATTTGGTAGAAAAACACAGTTTTTACCTTTTATTGGTGCAAAGATGAGTAGTGGTGATATTTATTTTGTACAACATTTGCAACTGCTTTTTATCACTTAATTAGAAGCACCACAAATTAAAATGGTCATGTTATAGGGACTACTGAACAGACATTTAGAAGTTGATTTTAAAATGCAAAGTATTTAAAATTAAAATTAAAATAAAGCTATGTAAACACTTGCATTTTTACAACACTACAAGTGTGTCCCATCAGGTAATGAAAAGTTCGACACACACTTAATACAGGGCCAAATACAGGAAATACATCATACAAGTAGTCAAGTGGTCAAGTGCAAAGACCACAAGTGTGGGTATTTGGACAAGGCTTCAGTCTGGGGCTCATGAATTTGCCACAATATCATCACATAAACATTCCTGAAAAAAGTGTCTTATTTGACTGTTTTAAGCCCTTAATCGACTGCTTTGTGTCTATAGCTGTCTGTACCTTATCCACAGTGATCATTTATTTACATTTTCAAAAATCATAAATCTTACACATGCATAGACAGCACAAAACTTGGCCGAGACTGGAAGCACAATCTGATATTTTCATGTATTTCAGTTCATTCTCGTAAGCTGTAACAGGTGACTGTAAAGTGGTGAAAGGTGTAGAGTTAAAAAACAGTCCTCCCTACACACTTCCTCAATGTGTGACTCTCAATGTCTTCTGTTTTTCTGTCCGGGACTTTGTTTAATTTAATGCATCAACCCTATTTCACCGTGAATTTAGCTTTCTTTCGAATTCTTTTGTATGACGCTCTCATACACAAATCCATTTGATAGCTGCAGCAGAACAGAACTTTCTTACATACTCCGTCAAAAGTGTCTTATTTGACTGTTTTAAGCCCTTAATCGACTGCTTTGTGTCTATAGCTGTCTGTACCTTATCCACAGTGATCATTTATTTACATTTTCAAAAATCATAAATCTTACGCATGCATAGACAGCACAAAACTTGACCGAGACTTTAAGCACAATCACAGTCTGATATTTTCATGTATTTCAGTTCATTCTTGTAAGCTGTAGGGTAACAGGTGACTGTAAAGTGGTGAAAGGTGTAGAGTTAAAAAAACAGTCCTCCCTACACACTTCTTCAATGTGTGACTCTCAATGTCTTCTGTTTTTCTGTCCGGGACTTTGTTTAATTTAATGCATCAACCCTATTTCACCGTGAATTTAGCTTTCTTTCGAATTCTTTTGTATGACGCTCTCATACACAAATCCATTTGATAGCTGCAGCAGAACAGAACTTTCTTACATACTCCGTCCTAAAGAATCAGACGGATGTTCAGAGAGGAAGAATCCAGGAGTTCAGGATGAATGGATGGAGAATGGAGATGTTTCTTTATATGACGACACCAGAGCAGGAGTCTTGATGGTGTTTTTTAGAGAGCTGAAAGCTGCAGATGCAGGAACATACAGGTGTGGAGTGAAAGTATCTGACTATACTGAGAGCTTCACTGAAATTCAGCTGCACCTCAAATACGGTGAGCAAACTCAGATACTTTAACTTTTATAATATTATTATTTCCTTTGTTTAACCAGAAAATCCCATTGAGCTAGGGATTCATATAAAATACAATGGTGTGTGTGTGACTCAGCACCACAAACAAAATGTAATGCTGCATGATAAACAGTCTAATAAAATCTATATACCTAAATATTTATACCAACCTACTTTTTCTATAAATATACCATATAAGGTCAAAATTGCCATATTCATCATCTTAGAACCAGTGTGACTAAAAATCTAAATTTTAAACCAATTTCAGCTGTAGCAGTGAATGCTGCATTACTTGAAATGCATTCTTTTGTGCTTTCTGCAAGGCTTGATTTAAAGAAGATGCTGTTGTATATATCCAGCATATATTGTACAGCATACAAATGAATTTTAGCTAAATTTATTCCAAGACCTAAATCACTGATAAAGATAGAAAATAAAAGAGGAGCTAAAACTGATCCTTGTGGTACCCCGCTGTCTAATTTAAGAAAGGGAGAACTATACAACAAATAAAGCTGCACAAGACTTTTTACTATCCAAGAAGTTAATAATATCATTTGTAACTAACATGGCTGCAGTAATGGTGCTGTGGCCTGTTCTGAAACCTGACTGACAGTCATTAAGTATATCATCAGATAAAAAATGTTTTAATTGATCGTTTATCAATAATTCAAATACTTTAGCTAAAACTGGTAGACGTGAGATAAAACGGTAATTATTGGCGCATGCGCGACTGAACGAATCACTCCCCGAGACGACTCGTTCTTCCCGAGTCACATTAAAGATTCGTTCAAAATTAACGAATCATTCAAGAATGACCCAACACTACACGACACTTTTAATGGCTCTTTGGCGCCGACATTGTACCTCCAGCACCTACAGCAATAAAACAGTAATGGCGGACCGCTGCTTCTCACTCAGGGCTGTGTATATGCTAATAGGGCAGAGAGCATCAAGAATGGGCGAGACTTTCCCAGAGTATGACGTCATAGTAGTGAGAAATCTGGAACTACTTGTGTGGAGAGACTGTTTATGATTTATTGGGATTATAATACAATGAGTGTGTGGATTTTTACCATTATAGGCTGGTTGATTTCACACACTGCGGCCACACAACTGTGTTCAAACACCTTATAAAAGTGATTTTTGCATTCTATGGCACCTTTAATAATGGGATGACTGTTGCTGATTTCCATGTTTTCAGTAAATTAAGCTTAGGTTAAACATAGAAATATCAGCTGCCAATCTGAAAAATAGGGCTCAATTTTATCGATGCCCGCTGATTTTTTTACATCAAGTTTCACTAAAGCTTTATGGATTTGTGCAGCAGTAAATTCAACAACTGTGAGGGACAATGTGGAACAGGATTTAAACTTTCCACAGGAGCACATTCACCTAAATGGCTATAGTCAGATGTGAAACCAGCAGATATAAAATTATTAGTAAAGATATATGCACTCTTTACTACAGAATGGTTAATATTTAAATAATCAGCAAAGTTGATCGATGAGCTTGGTGCCAAATTGGATTTGACTAATGTCCAGAACTTTGTAGGGTTAGTTAAATTTTCATTTATCATAGAAAGATGATAATCACATTTTGTGCTTTTTATTAATTTTGTGCATTTATTTCATAGTGTTCTGTAGGAGATCCAATCTAGAGAATCATTTGTTTTCTTAGCTTTAGCCCAAGCAGCATTCCTCTGTCCAATAAAAGTATAAATGGTATCGTTAAACCAATGATTATGTTTTACCACTTATTCTAAATCGTTTAAATGGAGCATGTTAGATATCTAAACGCTAAAATACCAAAACAAAACTAAAGTAGATTGACTAAAATTAGTCAAACACTTGTATTAAACAAATGGAAGAAGAAGAAGAGAAAGACTGGCAAACACGTATCTACAAACAAGTTGCCATCTTGAATTTTGCCCCTGTCAATCTTGCATGTATGAAGTATCTGTTCTGATTTTCCAATCACATCTGCCAGAAAATCAGTTCATCTAAAGTGACAGAAATGAATCCTTCATCTGAGAGAAATGAAGAGAGAGTTGTTAGAGTGAGCATCAGTAATGTGAGTGTGAGAGATGCTGGAGTTTACTGGTGTGGAGCAGAAACCAGAGACACATATCTGACTTTCATCTCCCTGAACACTAAAATTCAGCTCAACCTCATCAGTGAGTCAATTAAGATTGATCACAATGTAGCTATCAAACATTTCTATGCAGAGTCACAGTGAGATGGATGTTGAGTTAATAAGGTGTATTTTAAATGAATAAAACATCTGATTGACAGCTAAAGTGGGCGTGTCTAGAGTGAGCGGCTCCTCAGGAGGTGGTTTGATGATCAAGTGTGAACATCCTCAATACAAAACCAACCCAAAATACATCTGTAAAGAATCAGACGGATGTTCAGAGAGGAAGAATCCAGGAGTTCAGGATGAATGGATGGAGAATGGAGATGTTTCTTTATATGACGACACCAGAGCAGGAGTCTTGATGGTGTTTTTTAGAGAGCTGAAAGCTGCAGATGCAGGAACATACATGTGTGGAGTGAAAGTATCTGACTATACTGAGAGCTTCACTGAACTTCAGCTGCACATCAGACACGGTGAGCAAACTCAAGTACTTTGTCTTATATATTTAAAATATTTGTTCTGATTTTTGTGTGATTTCTTTTGGTTTATAGATGAAAAATATCCAAACAACGTGACTTCTGCTCATATTGGTGGAGAAGTCAACATCACCTGCCAGATCCCAGAGGAGCATGAAGTTAATTTATGCAAACAGGATGTTAATCACACTTATAATCACATCTGCCAGAAAATCAGTTCATCTAAAGTGAGAGCATGAAGTTAATTTATGCAAACAGGATGTTAATCACACTTATAATCACATCTGCCAGAAAATCAGTTCATCTAAAGTGACAGAAATGAATCCTTCATCTGAGAGAAATGAAGAGAGAGTTGTTAGAGTGAGCATCAGTAATGTGAGTGTGAGAGATGCTGGAGTTTACTGGTGTGGAGCAGAAACCAGAGACACATATCTGACTTTCATCTCCCTGAACACTAAAATTCAGCTCAACCTCATCAGTGAGTCCATTCAGATGATTTCACTTAAGTAAATGATGAAGTGGCCAGATAATGCATGCTTTATATATGTCAAACTTATGAAGGAATAAGGTAGAATTAGGTTACATTTAGCCACTTTTAGCCATTGAGATGACTGGGAAAAAATGTCCCAATTACCCTGAATTAACCATATATATTTATGTGGAAATTTACTTTTTTGTTTTAGAACACATGAAAACATTCTCTTTATTTTGATTGATTGATTGATTGATTGATTGATTGATTGATTTTCATTTAGTCACTACCAAGTGACTTTCTGTAATCAATATCTAGAAATCTAGTACACCGTTTTTCTGCCTGGGCAAAAAAATTAGGTACAGCTTATCAAGTGCTTGAAATGTCCTGTCTGTTTTCTCTAGTTTCCTTGGTTGTTAACTAGTCCCCACACCTGTTCCATTTTTTGCTCCCAGTGTGTTTAAGCCCCGAGTTAATTCTGTTCATTGTTCAGTCTTGTCAGTGTTATAAATGGTCGTGTTTCTCTCCAGCAATTCCCTGTGTTTTCCTTGTGGATTATAATCAGTACTGTTTTGTTTTCTACTCCTTCATTACGTGCTTACTACAGCCACCATTCCATGACAGAAGACCGAACCTAGACAAGATTTTTTTGTTGCAGCATTTTTCCCCGTTTTTTCTATGGACCTTCCTGCTGTATTTCTCCACCTGCTCGAGCCGGGCGATCGCTCCCTCGAGGACCACACAAGGGATTTTTTTAGATCTAACATACCTGACTTGCTACCCAGACAGCTGCCTATGCATATATATATATTTTTGTTGGACTTAAGACCTTGTCAAAAACTAAGCTGTCCAGGGGAGGTCCTCGAGGGAGCTTCGCTGTTTATGTGGAGTGAGTGCTGGAGAACAATAGATTGGCTTTCACCATCTGATATCATCAGCATGAGCCTGCACAAGAAATTAGGTTACATTTAGCCACTTTTAGCCATTGAGATGACTGGGAAAAAATGTCCCAATTACCCTGAATTAACCATATATATTTATGTGGAAATTTACTTTTTTGTTTTAGAACACATGAAAAGATACTCTTTATTTTGATTGATTGATTGATTGATTTTCATTTAGTCACTGCCAAGTGACTTTCTGTAATCAATATCTAGAAATCTAGTACACCGTTTTCCTGCCTGGGCAAAAAAATTAGGTACAGCTTATCAAGTGCTTGAAATGTCCTGTCTGTTTTCTCTAGTTTCCTTGGTTGTTAACTAGTCCCCACACCTGTTCCATTTTTTGCTCCCAGTGTGTTTAAGCCCCGAGTTAATTCTGTTCATTGTTCAGTCTTGTCAGTGTTATATGTGGTCGTGTTTCTCTCCAGCAATTCCCTGTGTTTTCCTTGTGGATTATAATCAGTACTGTTTTGTTTTCTACTCCTTCATTACGTGCTTACTACAGCCACCATTCCATGACAGAAGACCGAACCTAGACAAGATTTTTTTGTTGCAGCATTTTTCCCCGTTTTTTCTATGGACCTTCCTGCTGTATTTCTCCACCTGCTCGAGCCGGGCGATCGCTCCCTCGAGGACCACACAAGGGATTTTTTTAGATCTAACATACCTGACTTGCTACCCAGACAGCTGCCTATGCATATATACTGTATATATTTTTGTTGGACCTAACACCTTGTCAAAGACTAAGCTGTCCAGGGGAGGTCCTCGAGGGAGCTTCGCTGTTTATGTGGAGTGAGTGCTGGAGAACAATAGATTGGCTTTCACCATCTGATATCATCAGCATGAGCCTGCACAAGAGGATGCGACAGAGCCTATCATGGGACGCCATGGGAATCCTTGTAGTGTGTGAGGATATGGAATAGAGCCCCGCCCACAGTCCTGCTGCTGGGGGTGAGCTGCAGCTGGCCTTTGTTGTTTATTTAGTGGATGCAATGGATGATTTTCCCCCGTTTCTCCTGTCTCCGCTGGTTCCACCCAACCCTGAGTCTCATTCATCGGCCATTCCCAGGTCACAGGGAGCCCTGGACTCCACCTCCAACCCTTCTGCTCCTCCTTGGCTCCATGCTCCCTCAGCTCCACCAGGGTTCATCAGTCCTTGGTCTCTGACAGGCTCCCTCGTCCCTTCGGCTCTGACTTGGTCAGTCGTCGGCCTGCCTCCGCCACAGTCTTTCGCTGCTCTGGCTTCATCTCGTCCCTCCATCCCTCTGGCACTGTAGGGCTCCTCCTTCCCTCTAGCTCAACCTTGGTCCTCAGTCACACTAGCTTTGTCCCAGCCTGCCAAGCCTCCGGTCTCCGGTGTCACCTGGGTTTCCAAATCTCGTCCCTCCATCCCTCTGGCACTGTAGGGCTCCTCCTTCCCTATAGCAGTCAGTTGTCCCCCTGGTGTCATCAGCCAAATCTCCACGTTGGCGCCTCCCTCCCTCGACTCCACCGTAGGCTTCCTTCCTGACTGGACTCTGGGTCCCCATCTGGCTCCTGCTCCAGGCTCCTCCCTGGCTCTTCCCTCTGTCATGCATGCCACCCTAGTTTCTCCCACCATCACCTTCTCTTGGTTCCTGTCCTTCGCCTGCTACACGGCCACCTCCAGAACCCCCTCACTCCCTCCTCAGTTAGACTCTGTTACGGCGCAAGAACGTGCCTTCTGGGAGAGGGGTGTAATGTCACATGTGATCTGTTTTGGTTTTATTTTCCCTGTGTTGCCTGCTGGTTTTCTATAGTTTCCTTGGTTGTAAATTAGTTCCTTCACCTGTTCAGTTTTTCCTTGATTGTTCCCTGTGTATTTAAGTCCTGAGTTCATTCTGTTCATTGTTCGGTCTCATCAGTGTTATACGTAGTATTGTTTCTCTCCAGCGATTCTCTGTGTTTTTTATAATTATACTGTTTTGATTTCCATTTCTTAATTGTGCACTTACTACAGACACCATTCCGTGCCAACTAGCAATAGAGTCCAGGCACTGTGTATGCCACTGATTACTACAGTCTTCAGAAACATTTGTGTTAAATGTCCATGTTTATTTGTATTTAGTGCCTCCAGTAGTGAGACATGAAGGAGAATCTGCTGAGATCATCTGCCCTTATGATTCAATCTATAAATCAAAACCAATTAATACTTCACCTCCTGAGTACTTGGGGGGGGACAGTGCTTGCCATGCTTGTTTGTAGGGCTGCACGATTTGGTCAAAACTTTGTGATTATCAATATAACTGTATAATAATATTGATATGATGATATTATTACTTTTATTAAATACACATAAATATTACTGAATAAAGGAAAAATATGAAATGTTATTGTAAATGCTCATGTGTAAATGAATACAGTGCCGTGTTTCACTCTGAAACATGGAGCATATATATCTATTTAATTAAACCGCAGCCTTTGCGATTTTGTAGTCTCACTAAGCCATATTACAATTTTCTTTGTATTTAAATTAATCACGCAGCCCTCGTATTCAATCTAGTTTATTTCTCTCTAAATCTGTTTTCAGGCCTCTCATGCAGCATGTGACTATGAGAATATCAGAGATGCCAGACTGCGCTCAGTCCCGGGAACTGAGGAAACGGTGTTATATTCCACTGTCACGCATCCCACAGACTCGTCTGATCCACACGACACGCTGTATTCTACAGTACAGTTACCCACAAACCCCTCTGATAGGCTCCTATACGCTTCGGTCCATTTCCAGAAGCATGAAGAGTCTCTCAGTGATGCTAAAGTAACCTTCAATAACGAGGAGATTTACTATGATTACTCCACGGTCATTCCCCACACTTCACTCAAGTAGTTTAGCTTTTTTTTTTTGCGGCCTCTCATGCAGCATGTGACTATGAGAATATCAGAGATGCCAGACTGCGCTCAGTCCCGGGAACTGAGGAAACGGTGTTATATTCCACTGTCACGCATCCCACAGACTCGTCTGATCCACACGACACGCTGTATTCTACAGTACAGTTACCCACAATCCCCTCTGATAGGCTCCTATACGCTTCGGTCCATTTCCAGAAGCATGAAGAGTCTCTCAGTGATGCTAACGTAACCTTCAATAATGAGGAGATTTACTATGATTACTCCACGGTCATTCCCCACACGTCACTCAAGTAGTTTAGCTTTTTTTTTTGCAGTGATGCCAAAGAACCCTTCTTGGTTCCCCAGCTGTTTTTAAAAGATCCTCGTTGTTCTTAGTGTGAAGAACATTATAATCATGTAAATAATGTTTTCCACTATAAAGAACCTATTGTGCATTGTGAAGGTGCCAAAGGTTCTTCATGGAACCATCAAAGGCCAATAAAGAACCTTTGTTTTTAAAAGAGTATGGAATCTGGTCACGAGTGCAGTGACATTTTAATGCATACAGTGACTCCTAAAATTATTTACACACTTCAGTGACACTTAAAAATGCATTTCATTAGATATAAAATTATATAAAAAAATCAAATGCCATTTGTTGTAAAGAAAGGTATAGCAAAAGTACTTTTTTCACTCAAAATAGGAAGTATCGCGTGACTTTGTGTTTGTTTGTGATTAGTGGAACATGTTCACAGTGAACTTAATGAACCACCCTTGTGTACGCTCATAAATGTGAACGAAATTCATAATTGTGAGGAAAAACTTAGCACTTGTTTGCACGTGACACTTGATCTGCTCACTATGTTTACTCTCAGACATTTATCAGTTTACTATAGTTAGTCATTTTGTCACACCCACGTGAAATTAAAGATTAGAGACTCAACTGGACACTTTTTTACACCACAGCGGGGAGGTTCTTCATGGAACCATCAAAGGCCAATAAAGAACCTTTGTTTTTAAAAGAGTATGGAATCTGGTCACGAGTGCAGTGACATTTTAATGCATACAGTGACTCCTAAAATTATTTACACACTTCAGTGACACTTAAAAATGCATTTCATTAGATATAAAATTATATAAAAAAATCAAATGCCATTTGTTGTAAAGAAAGGTATAGCAAAAGTACTTTTTTCACTCAAAATAGGAAGTATCGCGTGACTTTGTGTTTGTTTGTGATTAGTGGAACATGTTCACAGTGAACTTAATGAACCACCCTTGTGTACGCTCATAAATGTGAACGAAATTCATAATTGTGAGGAAAAACTTAGCACTTGTTTGCACGTGACACTTGATCTGCTCACTATGTTTACTCTCAGACATTTATCAGTTTACTATAGTTAGTCATTTTGTCACACCCACGTGAATTTAATGATTAGAGAAACTGTAGATAAACAAAGAAAACACAAAAGCGGAGCATCTGCTGGAAATGTACAAGAAAACAACTCAACTGGACACTTTTTTACACCACAGCGGGGTTTTTAGGTGTTGTTAAAGCACAACACACTCTTGCACCCAAAAGCATCTGGAAACGGCTGATGCATCAAAATGCAGGAAGAAAAGGGAACCACTTACAGATGTATTTTCATTATGAATTTTACTTACTGCAGCTGTTATTCTATTTATTCTTTCTAACTGCACTGTGTTTGTTCAGAGATGCCTCATCTGGAGCAGAAGGACCATGTGAAATAAAGCAGTGTGTTTAGGTGCCATACCAGTTATGAGACAGATATTAATATAGGCTGAATGAATCATGCGTCTTGTTCATATCATGTCTATTGTACAGTTCATCACCTGTGTGTTTGTGTTTGTTATATACAGTTTTCTGTTTTTCACTTATCAAGTGTTTTATATTCAAGGTGATAATCCTACAGGGACACTAACCCACATAATCACCTTCAGCTAGTCATTTGACTAGACTACTAATTATTCACTTTGTATACCACACGTTTTAGTTTGCTTCCCTCTGCTGTTCAAGAATTAAAAATGCAGTTTAACCCTTCACTTGTTCTCTGGTTTGACTCGATTATTTATTGGGTAACGGTTAGTGAACAGTGGCATCATGACTTATGAAAAAAATACAAAGAGGGATTTTAAGGCACATTTGCATGCAAGCATCCATTTATTTTTCTGCTCTTCAGACTATGTTTTTTTTTTCTGTAAATGTGTGCTAATTTCTGTGGCAGAAGCTTTCAGACCTGCACAGGAGAGAAAAGACAGGAAGATGCTCATGGTCAGTATCTTTGGTTTAACTCCACTGTGAGTCACTGACAGCAGGCCTGTATTTCATCACAGTGAGTCAGAAGAACTTAGTACAGAGGAAAGGGAAGAGGCGGAGCTGTTTGTTTTATAAAAAACTCTTTAGGAGCACAAGATACAGACAAAAAACCAGGCACAGCGGAAGAACTCACAGCGTCTCTGACTGCCCAAGAATGTACAGATTCACAGAAGTGAGAGTTTTATCATTCGTGATGATGATGAAGACCCTTCTCTTCTTCACGATCTGCCTGATTAAAGGTAAGAAGCTGTTTTCATTACAGTATCAACCTGTATGTGACAGCTGTTTTTTACTATTGACTCAACTGAGATCTAATCGTGTCTGTGAGTCTTTTGTCTTTATTTGTGCATTTTTGAAGTTTGCTGTCAGTATCTGATCATAAGGCACTCATTAAAAGAGGAAGTGAATTTTGATTGACAGGTCACATGGGTGATGCTGCTGACCCTGTGCCTGCCATCACAGGAGGAAGTGTCATCATCAACTGTATGTATAATCGGGAAAATGCGAAAACCAGTGCAAAAAGCTTTTGCAAAATGTTGGGCAGTGAATGTACAACCATGACAGAAGAAAATAATGATTTATGGATCCCAGAAGAGAGATTCTCTATGACCGATGATAAAACTCTGGGTCTGATTAGTGTGCTCATTAGAAACCTGACTGTAAATGACAGCGGGACGTACAGATGTAAAGATGGCAGCGAATGGATTCAGGAGGTGAAATTCAACGTGGGGGAAAAGTAGTTTGAAAATTTGAATTAATCGAAACAATTGTGTCATAAAATGCGTCACTGTATTAAAGCGTCCGGCTGTCAAAACAGTGTAAACGCAACAAAAACCCAGCCCAAATATGCATAAACCAATTCGAAATGATTTACTGAAATTTGAATTCATTAAATGCAATTAACAGGTCAAGAAATTCCATTTAATTTGAAGAGTCTGTATAGTTACGTCACTTGCAGCAGTGTGTGCATTGTGGTGGCAGAAAAACACTGGGAACAAAATGTTCTGTTGTGCTTTTGGATGCCAGAATCGGAATGTAAATAATTTTTATAGAATACTGTCGTCAAAGACAACATTTGAAGCTAAACGCAGACGTTGAAACGGATGAAGTGGATGAAACCTGCTATGATTACCCTACTTTTAAAGCATAAATTTGATTTAAACAATAGGTCTACATAATATTCACATATGCAGTTCTTAGGGGTCATATTGTATTAGCTACAGTTACAACATAAAATAGCCTACTTTTTAAACCTATTACATTTAACATTACATTTACCTATTTTATAATTGCGAGTTTGTCAATTCTGAGGGGAAAAAAGCCAGAAGTGTGGGATTTAAAAAGCGAATGACGAGTTGATTTTTTATTTTTTTTGTGAGATATAATCTCGGAATTGCGAGAAAAAAAGTCAGAATTTTTTAAATATAAACTCAAAATTACCTTTTTTATTCTTTTATTTCATGGATTCCATAGACTGCTACTTTAAAACTGTCATTTTCTACCAGATAGGCTCCTCCCAGAAAAAGACGTCATCACTTTTTGCAAACACCGAAATTGGTCCATAATATGTGTTATTTTAATTTGCAGGGCTCGTTTGTTTATGGAGAACATTGCTAAAAAGGCCAATAAGTACTACTCTTCCTTTTCATTGAAATGTATAAAACTCATCCGAGATCAGGTTTAAAAAAAGTAAATAAATAAATATGGGTTCATTTCATTATTTTCAAATCTGTCATTACAAACGAAGCCTCGCTGAAATCATGTGACTTTGGACAAAGGTTTTGAAGCTTCACAATGCATTTTTTCGTAAGAACCTCTTCACTACTGCACATAAACACAACTGGCGCCATTTTGCAGCTCAGTGATTGGCTGTAGTGAAAATGACTGCAGAGTACTTCAAGGGATAGTTCACCCAAAAATGAAAATTACCCCATGATTTACTCACCATCAAGCCATCCTAGGTGTGTATGACTTTCTTCTTTCAGACAAATCCAATCGAAGTTATATAAAAAAAGTCCAGGCTCTTCCAAGCTTTATAATGGCAGTGAATGGGTGTTTCTTGTCAATAGCCTGAAAGAAGTCAAATAAAGTGCATCCATCCATAATAAAATGTGTCCCACACGGCTCCGGGGGGTGAACAAAGGCCTCCTGTAGAGAATCAATGTGTTTTTGTAAGAAAAAAAATCCATATTTAAATCTTTATAAACCGTAATCTCTAGTATTCTCTAAAAGTGATTTTCATTTTTGGGTGAACTCTCCCTTTCAGTTTGAGTTTCACTGGATTCATGTTTCAGGTCTTGTTGCTTGACTGATTGTTTTGCATATTATAGTGGACTGTTCCTTTCACACTCATGCTAATATCAACACGGCTGTGATCGTGCTTCATTCTGTGGTTTGAATCTCATTTCTACTGTGTTTTGTGTGTGTTTTCCAGATCTCTACATCGTCATTATGGTGATTATGTGTTTGATTCTGTTGTTAGCCGGAGGTCTGAGTTTGTTGTTGCTCAAGCGGAGATGTAAAAAGACACAAGGTACAAACACGAATGCTCCGAAACCGAACGTGATACTGAAATCTCTTAACTTCTGTTTTCTTGTGTGTTCACTTTCATACTTTCATCATTCCGTCCATCCACAGGTTCAGCCTCATCCGATCAGAGGAACACAGGAGATGGTGATGAGGTAAAAGTGTGTCTACAGTGTTCATCTATTAGCATGACTACAGTATTTCCCAAACTGTGTTCAATTACAGAAGGAATTCAAAAAGATTATAAATCATGACATAACTGATAAACCCAGATGTTATGCAATTAAAATAATAAACCTGTCCCTTTCAGGTGTCCTCGTCTGCTTATTATGCAATGATCCCAGACTCTGGAAGCACAACATTACACCCGTCTGTTCAGAAGCCCATCAGTTTAAACACGGTTTATGACACGGCACATTTACCCACAAACCCCTCTGGCAGTGATTTCTACACACTGGCTGAACAGCCACAAAACATGACATGTATGTGATTCAGTATGTTGCCATTTATTAGAATAAATAAAGTCAATTATTTGTCATTTCAGACCCCTCTTTGTTTGGACATAATAATCAATAGAGCACTACTGTCATATAAATGTCAGATATGCTGGCATAAAAATCTATACAGTATATGTATATATAAATAATGGCAGTTACTTTAAGATCAAACTGTCCAAATGTCAGTTTAATGGCTTTTAAAGAGCACAGAATTCAGATTATTATAAAGTAATGATTCATTTTGAGACCTAAAGTCATTCACTGAAGATCTTAACTTGGATCCTCATAGAGGACTGTTTAGGAAAAATATTTATTGTATTTTTGTTTCCCTTTATTTCTGACACACCACATAGAAGATAATATGCAAACTGAATTAAACAAGGGTCCAAAAGGCAATATTTGGTTCAGAAGTCATATTTACCAGAACAGCTGAATGAATGAATGAATGAGTGAATGAATGTGCATTTTGGTAGTATGTCAAAGTAAAATTGAAAAATGGCTCTCGCTGTGGGCCGTAATGTCATTATTAGATCACACTGACACCAAGTGGTCACATATGAGGTTACAAACTGTACAATATGAATGATGCCTGATGTCTCTCGGCTATGATCTCATTAGAGACTCATTCAGTCATGTTTATGTGACTAAGCAGCACATATCCTATTCTAAGATCAAGAATTTATTGAATGAAGATCTCAATAGAGGGAGCTCCTGCTGCAAATACTCTGTATTTCATAGAGAGGAGGAGCAAATGACAGACAGAGAGAGAGAGAGAGAGAGAGAGAGAGAGAGAGAGCTCTTCTTTAAGTTTGACCACCAGCAGCATTTCATTTGTATTACATGATCACTGTTTGTAAGCAGAGCAGCTAGTGCTGAGCAGAGTAAAAATAGCTGACATGAATTACACTAGTACAATATTTTGATAAAACAGCCCGAGACTGAGGATGGAGGACATTACTGGTGTATGATAATGAGACTGTGAGATGCTTACATCTCTCATTTATGCCGGTAAGATGCCATCAGCAAGTTTTGTGTTTTATTTAAAAACAGAATCTCATTGTAAAATCAGTTAACAAAATAAATGTGTTCTTTACAGAACTACAAGACTGTATTGAACAAATGCTGCTGGTCACACTTAGCCGCTATATTTTCACCAAACCCCGGACATTAATAACAGCTTAGTCAAGGGGAAAGTTCACAAGTCACAGAAATGGTCACATGACCTCGTGCCACAATGTAAAAATGAAACTGTGTATATTTATTTCTATTGAATATATAAAAAGCATTGCCTTTACAAACTTAAGTATTTCTTATTCCCACCATATCTGCAATAACTGCATAAACTACTGACTGTCACGCAGATTATGTGGATGTCATCATTTATAGATTATGTAAATGTGAGATCATAAACTAACCCGATGATTATTTGTGCTTCAGACACATCAGAGAGTATGTCACCTAAACCAACAACAACAAGAGCTTTGTTTCACACCAGCAAACCAGCGACAGCAGATACTGCCTCCAGCAGACCCGTCACATCTTCATCTTCATCATCTTCATCTTCAGTGTTAATGTTTTTCTCATCGTCTGCTAATGCAGTGTCACCAAAACCACAACTGGGTACGATGCATTCTGTTGCTCAAAGTGTCTGACTGAATGCATTTGTTTCTTAAGTTTATTAAAATTAGGACATGCATTAGATGTTTTTGTCTGTTTTTCAAGGTTTTACACCCAATCGCCATGCTGTCAGTTATGGGGATATTGATGGTGTTTGGATTCCTATTGTTTATTAACTTAAGATGCAGACAAAAGAAAGAAGGTAACACTGTCTTTCACTCTCTCACACGCATAATATTAAACGATGTAGGATATTTGATCACTTTTCATTTGCCACACTATAGCATTTTCATAACTGGGCGTTCACATCTTGTCAAATTAAAGGCCTTTAATATATTTTATCTCAATCTCGTGTCACGAAACAGGAGTGCGGCTGAGAGGCGTCATTCGTGTCTTGGTTGAAAATCTGTCCGCTAAAGAAGTGAGTTTCATCATGTGTCTGTTTGAGGTCGATCTAAACCACTTCTTTGTGGATTCTTATCATCTTTACCTCTACTGACCGTACTGTTGCTTATCTCAAGTGTGATTTTACTCTGGTGACTCTCTTCAGGCCACTCATACTGTATGCCATTATGAAGAGATCATTTGCACAGACAGCTACGGTTTGGGCCTTTCTGTATTTGATGTACTCAACACCTATTCCACCGTCATATTTCAGACTACAGACCATCCAGACAGGACTTCAGACGGACAGGAGACATGCGACTCTGCAACTGTTAGAAAGACTGTGGCATTCATGGACACCAGGTCGATTAACAGTTAAAATATCTGAGTCTGATGGACTTCTAATAATTTTATATCCATGAGTTGTAGAACACTAAAGCAAACAAAGTACATTGTGAAGAATTCAATTAGTGGAGAAAGCTTTCTAATGACACTGAAAATATATTTGTGAAGTTGTTTTTAACCTCTTAAGACCCAGCAAAACATTTTAGGAATTTTTATTTTTATTTTTTGATGTCATTACATTGTTTAGAGCATAAAATTAAATGACAATTACAAAATAGTATCATATTTCCATAAGAGTGTCACTAAATTAATATCAGACATTTTTGAAGACCAAGGAGAGGGGGTGGTCATGGTGAAACATCCAAACATTTAGTATCTCTGAAAAGCCCTGAATGTGCTCTGTACAGGACATCCAGACGTAAAACTGTGGCATGTATAGTCTCAGAGAAATTCACTAAAATATAATGTCCTCATATGACGATGCAGGGTCTCAGGAGGATAAATCTGGTTGTCCACCTAAAATAAAGAGATACTATTATTTTGTCTTTTTAAATATAATATATGGAATAATATTTCTTGGGCTATGTTCACACTGTGAGTATTTGAGATGGACAACCGCATTTACTAACAGGTTTGAGTCTCAAATTGTCCTGTTCAGACAATAGCGACTCTAATGAAGGAGTAAGTGAAGTCAAACCTATTCATCGTGCAGCACAGAACGGCTCTCTTGTGCCAGACAATAGTTAATATAGAAAATAAGTCCTGAAAATGTAAAGGTGTGAGTTCCCTTGTCGAATCCGGTTGTCATTTCCAAAAATAACTGAACTGTTCGTGAATGTAACCATAGTAATGAGCGAAATTTTGAATCTGTTGAACCAATTGCTTCGCAGAATTATTTGCTGTTTTGAAGCGCTCGAAATATGACACATTGGTGAGTGTAAATGAAACAAAAACTCAGCCCAAACATGTATAAAAACACCTGAAAAAAACAGAGGTTTTGTTGGAAGTAAAATCTATTAAATGCAATTAACAAATCATCTAATACCATTAAATGTGAGATTTCTGTATAATATGCATTCTGTTATTAAATTGGGTGGCTTATTTTTGTTTGTTTTGTGAAGGGCTTGGCTAAACAGGCCAATCAGACACTATTACCTACTAATCTTACTTTTATTATACAAATGTGCCATTAAAATGTCTATATATAAAACAGAACTTAGATCAGATAAAAACCATTGCTTCATGGATCCACAGAGATCATCGACCCCTAGCGGCGAACCATTAACATTTTGAAATATTGAAACAGTTATAATGTAACAAAGACTAATTTAGTGAAATCACTTGACTTATGCACTTTGATTCATGCTCTGATTCTTTGGTTTTGAAACTTCAAAGTGCACATGACCATATTAAGGACTCAAAAACTGGACTGACGACGTGCGCCATTATATTTGGAAAGCTATATGTCAATTGTACAGCGATTGGTGCTTGGACCCCGATGACTGCTACTTGAGGTTATAATGAATTGTTGTTCGTCTAAGTTTCTTTTGTTCAGAGTTTGGCCTTCTATTGTCATTCTTCCATAAATGAAACAGTTTTAAGAGACTTTCCAGTCTACCCCACTATGAACATGTATATAAGTGCAGGTACATGCATCTGTGTGCTGTATGTAGAGTAACATGATCTCGCTTCTTCCAGTAAACACCACATGAAGAGATAATATGCAAATTCAATTAAACAATGATCATAGTGGTAACTTTTAATGCATAAGTCATATTTGCAAGATCAACTAAATGAATAAATAAATATGCATTTTGGTAGTATACAATATCAAAGTAATATTCAATTCGAATGCCCATCCTTCATTATGTCATTATTGCATCATACTGACACCAAGTGGCCACAGATGCAGGTTACACACTGTACAATGCATGATGCCTGGTGTCTCCTGACTATGATCAGTGTCTCGACTTGATGAAATATATATACAGTATATATTCATTCATGTTCATGTGTACTTAAAAGTCCTCGATCTCTTCTAAGCACAAGGCTGAATTTATTTGTGTCTGCTACATGAGTAAATGTAAATGTAAGATTGAATTTGTTCAAAGGAAATGTACATAGAGGGAGCTCTTGCTGCAAATACTGTAACTCATGGAGAGGAGGAGCAAATGACAGACAGAGAGAGAGAGAGAGAGAGAGAGAGCTTGAGCTCTTCATTAATAGAGACCACCAGCACCACACAGATGAAACAATGATCCAGATCCGTGATGATAAACTCATATTTCACCTGCTGCTCCTCGTGTCAGGTGAGAGTTATCCTGTGTCTTTCTAACAGTCTGTCTGTTCTCAATCAGGTCCATGTTTGCACTCAGCTGTTTCTCTCTCTTTATATTTTCTTAGTGGCGGTATGTGAGACGAATGAGATCTTGACTTTCACTGCACATGAAAGAGGAACAGTTGAGATACAGTGTTCATATAAGTCTAGATATGAAGAAGATAAGAAGTATCTCTGCAGAGGAGAATGTCCAAGACTGAATAAAGACAAAGTTGTTGAATCTGGATCAGCAGCTCGAGACGAGAGATTCTCTCTGACTGACGACAAAACGGCCCACATCTTCACCGTCACCATCACTGATGTGAGAACTGAGGATGAAGGCAAGTACTGGTGTGGCATAGAGACAGGGCTGGGAAAATTGGATGACTTTACAGAGATTTGTCTGGAAATTAAACACGGTAAGTCAGAATATACTGTATGTGTATCATTGGCAGTGCACATGAATACTGTGTAAAATGTAAATGAACAAATCTAGTATACTCTAAAGTTATATGTCAGTTTGCGTGTATGACAGTGCTGTACCATGTGCTGAAAGATGTAGAGAGACAAGAGAACAGAAACTACAGCATCCTCTGCAGATGCTGAAGAGCCAGTGTTCACACCACACACAACACAAATACTGACCCGCATCACTTCCTGTCACATGACATTCAGTTTATTTGAGAAGAAATTGTTCATTCAAAAAACAAAAAAATATAACTGCACAACTCAAAATCTTACTTTTTATATATATAGTTCAGCCATCAGCCTTTATCAATGCATTTTTGTTTGTTTGTTTTTATCAGCATAAAAATTTGAGTTGTGCAGTTAAACTTTCCTTTTGTTTTATTTCTCATGACTTGCACCTCAATATTTAGGCATGTGCTTATATTCTTTAAAATCAGTTACATCTAGCAGCTTTTCAAAGAGTTGCGGTATCTGTTGACATTTAGTGACTCTAAAGGTCAAGGTCTTTTTCATTTCGCATGCATTACATTATCAGAGCACTGCAGAGCAGCCAGTGAACGCAAAGCAGAAAGAGCTGGCATTATTCAGAGCAGTATCTGATTAAACAGCTAATATTGTCACTGTAAGTACTTAAATCTCTCATTTATGCTCTGATTTAGTTTCCAGAGTGCCTGGTGTGACTGGAAAGCATCTTTATATCCCCTGCAATTATGAAAGTGAATTGAAGAGCGATGTCAAATTCATCTGCAAAGGAAGCGACCCGTCCCTCTGTGAGAAATCAGCTATCAGAGTTTCATCAGAGAGCAACAGTAACGGCCGTTTCTCTCTGAGCGATAATGAACCTGCAGGAGTCTTTACTGTGACCATCACTGATCTGAGAGAAGAGGATTCTGGGATATACTGGTGTGGAGCTGCACGGAGAAGACAAGAGCACAAGAAGCAGAAGAAGTGGATTTCAGTGATAGACCTGAACATTTCTGCTGGTAAGATGATATTAGCAGGTTTTATATTATGTGTAGGGACATAAAAAACAAAAGAATGATTAGATCTTAATATAAAACGTTCATGCTAAACACATCGCTGGTCACTCATGCGCCTCTCTATTTCCTTCACACCCTTGACATTAGTGAAGCGTTACTAACAGCTGTGTCAGGGGGAAGTACAACGTGTCACATGACCTTTTGCCACAATACGACTGTAAAAATGTAACTGTGTGTGTTTATTCTGAAATGCATTCTCAATATGTGACCCTGGACCACAAAACTAGTCATAAGGGTCAAGTTTTTGAAATTGAAATGTATACATCATCTGAAAGCTGAATAAATAAGCATCTTACAACTTTTTGATGTATGGTTTGTTAGGATAGGACAATATTTGGCTGAGATACAACTATTTGAAAATCTGGAATCTGAGGGTGCAAAACAATCACAATATTGAGAAAATCACCTTTAAAGTTGTTCAAATGAAGTTCTTAGCAATGCATATTACTAATCAAAAATTAAGTTTTGATATATTTACGTTAGGACATTTACAAAATATCTTCATGGAACATGATCTTTACTAAATATCCTAATGATTTTTGGCATAAAAGAAAAATCGATAATTTTGACCCATACAATGTTTTTTTTGGCTATTGCTACAAATATACCCCAGCGACTTAAGAGGTTTGACTTAAGACAAAAAGGTTTTGTGTGCAGGGTCACATATATAAAAAGCACCTGAAATAGTTTTTGTTGTAATCATATCTGGAAATAACTGCATGGGCTGTCATGCATTAAACCCAGTTTCAGACACATCAGAGAGTATGTCATCTAAACCAACAACAACAACAGCTTCATTTCACACCAGCAAACCAGCGCCAGCAGATACTGCCTCCAGCAGACCCGTCACATCTTCATCTTCATCATCTTCATCACCATCAACATCACCTTCAGTGTTAATGTTTTTCTTATCATCTGCTAATGCAGTGTCACCAAAACCACAGCCAGGTACAAAGAGTGTGCAGAGACATTTGTTTCTCAAGTTTCATTAAATATAGGACATTTCGAGTCATTTATTGGATGTTTTTGTCTGTTTTTCAAGGTTTAGCACCAATCATCATGCTGGTGGTGATAGTTATAGGGATACTGACAGGGTTTGGATTCTCATCGTTCATATACTTAAGACGGAGGCAAAAGAAAGAAGGTGACTGTCTTTCTCACATCAATTCACTTGATATAGAATCATTTTTATTCTCATCTGCCTTAGTA